TGTGTAACTGGCAAGCTATATTATAGGGCAGCTTGTTAACAGAAGGGGTATGTGAATCAGCATGGGCAAATCTCTGCTAAGCCTATGCTGGGTTTCTGTAAAGCAAATTTGCCTTAAAGACATAATTAAAATAGTGCACTATATTTTGGACACTGCTGGATTGTAAGTGTAAGCAGAGAAAATCGGTTCCATGTCACACTGGGAAAAGTCTGCCTGTGACAGACATAGATCTTGCAACAACAGGTGTCAGCTTAATTCAACTTTCAAAATAGTTCACTACTCATCAGCTAGGTTATGTACAGCAAAGCAAGTTACTTGTAAAAGATGGTATTGTCTTCTGCAAATTCCTCAATACAACTCTTTCAGGTAGACATTAATCAGAGTTAAGCATCAACACACATATACAAATATTATAGGTCTGACCTGAAGCATCATTTGCCATTTCAGCAAATATGAGGTACTTAAAGAAAAAGATGATTTCAATTAAGAATAAAACAAAAAAATAAAATAAAACAAGCTATTTACTGTGATCTATTTTTGCATGCTCTGTTGGAGATCAGGTTCTCAGGCTTTGTTTAATAATAATAATAATAATAATAATAATAATAATAATAATAATAATAATAATATGGACATTATATCGCATAATGGAAAACATTGTCCAGATTGAATTTGTGTAGATCCACATCATTATTTTTGTTTTCTCTATGTTCAGCATCCCTTTGCCAACTGGGAACCATTCTGTTTCTCTGAATTCTGTTCTGATAGTAGCTTCTTGTCTTAAATACAGATTTCTCATCAGGACTATCAGATGTAGGGGCACTCCCATGACCTTAAAAGCCATCCATAACTTTTTGTGATCTATACAGTCAAACACTTTGCTGTAGTCTATAAATCAAATGGAGATTTTTTCCCCCCCCTGGAATTCTTATACACACAGTCGGAAGGTAACTTTACACACAATATTTTATTTTTGATAACTGTGTACATTTATTGCCCTGCAGAGGGGTGGGGTATAAATTATTATTATTATTATTATTATTATTATTATTATTATTATTATTACATGAAACAAAGTTGGTGTACATTGAGAAAAGAAAGGTGTCACTATCTCAGCCACCCATGTAGACAATTCTGGATTTTGGAATTCCAGATAAGGAAGACTAAAACTGTAATAATAATAATAATAATATAGGGGTTCACATTTTGAAGAGAAAAAACAGAACAGAACAAATGTCAAGAGCCGTGAGGGATTGCTGCTTAGCCCCCCGAGACCTTCAAGAAGCAGAGACATTGTACCATCATCTTATGTTATAGAAGGCTAAAACAATCACACCTGACACTGCCAGCTCTGGTGAGCTGACAAAACATAAACCAAGGAATGGATGAGGATAAACCTTGAAGAGATCCCCCCTTTCCATCCTACAACAATATCACACTACACTGTACAGTGCTACTACTCCACTTTTACTGTTTTGGCTGTCTCTTATAGAATCTTGGGATTTGCAGTTTAGGGAAGGGCACTAACAATCCCCAGCCAGAGACCCCTTAGGCCACACTAAACTACAAACCCCAGAATTCCACAAGGGGCAGTCAGAGCAGTTAAAGTTGACAAATAGTGCTGTAACAGTACAGTGTGGTATTGTCCCTAGACTGGAGAAAATACTCCAACTGCAACCACACAGCACTGGCTGAAGCCCAAAACAATGGTGAAAAGAGGGGAAACAATTAAAAATGGAACAGCCACTCAGTGTTAAGGCTCAAAGCCAAACCCACATTGTCCATGACTTTTTGCAAAAGGAAACACTTGTTCCACCATTGCTTCATATTGGGCCTCCATGCATACTTTCACTGCCCACAACTGATGGACCCAGAATATCTACCATGTATCGTTCTTGCAGAAAAAGGTGATGGAGATTCCTGTCCTGGCTGGATGTTGGTGGTGGTGGTGGTAAACCTGTTGGTTATAGTTTGAAGTTTTTACAGCCATGAATTATATCCCACTGAGCCCTGGTGTCTGAAAATGCTTGCAGTCAGCTGCAAGGAAAAACTTGGAAAAGAGGCAATAGTCTACTTACCCTGCTAGTGCACTTGCTAGTATTATCTTCAGTGACATGATCACTTCATTTTAGTTTTTTCTCCCCTCAAGGATTACAAGACTTTCTCCCCCCATAATAATAATCATCAAAATTGCAAAAAGTTACATTTATCTAATGATGCTAAATTACACTGAATATCTCTATAACAAACAGAATGCATTTATTCATTATTATAATTGGTGAATTTATTCCATTTCTTCTTAACTTATCTAGTTCAGCAATCTTTGAGACCCTGCTCAGCCATTCTTTCATGGGTGTCAACTACAAATTTTCCATGCCTGTTCAACACTATATTTACAGTTACCAAGAGATTAAACACAAGAAGGTGAACAGGCTAGGATGTCTTTCATCCAGGTTACGTGATAGTCGGAACCATACCGCAAGTCCATCTGATAATGGTAGGAGTCAGCACGTGCTGCTGTGCCTTTTCTTTGAGTAAAACTGTTAGTGCATATTCTTTTTAACCAAGCAGGTATCATATACCATCTATACACTAACTTAATGCTGAGCTTCCTGCCAGTCCAAACAAACTGATGGCAGTTTGCCTCCTCATACACTTTTAATTAAGGATTGGGACTTAGATTTTGTAACATCCCTCTTTCAGATTAGAACCCCAGCAGTCTTCTTTAGAAATTAACTCATTTCTATTTCCAACAAGCTACACAGGAACTTGGGAAAGTGCTTCACATCACATTAGGGCGGCTCACACTAATTCAAGTTAGGCTTCAGACTAATTCAGCAGTGTCTACACTGACTGAGAGAGACCCAGATTTCAAATATGGGTCAAAGGCTTGAGAGTGGGTCCTTCTGTATTTAAAGCATATATTTTACCGAGAGCTATCTACCCTTTCAGATAATAATCCACTCCTCAATTCTTCTCCATTTTCCTTCTACAGTATTTGGCTTTTTACACATAAGAATTCAGGAGCACATTAGCTACCATCAATACTCATACTTGGATTTTCAGCATATTCTCCTTTATTATAGAAAATCCTCTGTGCTTCTCTTTCCTATCCCCACCAGCAACTCCCAGCTTGGTTCTCAAGATAATTATGTCAGCTTTTCTTTTGTATCTCCAAAACCAACTGAACAGTGCAAGAAGTCACTTTTAATATTACTTTTAATTAATTTAAATGTAGTTTTTCCAGGAAATAAATGGAGTAGGTGGATAGCTAAACCATGAGTTTCTCTTGTCACATTCTTCCATGTTACCATCCTCCACCTTGTAAATGTTCACTGCAGCTGGCCTTTTCCTTGACCTCAGTAGACCAGATGAAATAGACGACTCAGTGGGTCAGATAAAATATAGTCAAAGCAACTAAATTGCACTTACTGTTGAGGTACTGGAGAAAAGAGTTCAAAGAGAATGACCAATCATCACACTTTAAAAAAAAATAAAATGTTTCATGCCTGTCTGTTTGCCTGCTGGGTGAAAATAGCTACTTTTAACTTTACTATAAACAGGTAAACAATTTCAAATAGAGAGATCTGTAGAAAAGTTTGCTAGCTACCTCCCTTACAATGCCACTTGCTGAGTGTCAGCTTTTGTTAATTGGGATACATATGGTGCAAAAGAGTGGGGAAACAATTTAGTTCCTTCTTGAATACTAAGAGACTAATTTTCTGAAGTGGCTGAGCAAAATGATGGCTGTCCCAGCTAAAAACCAGAGAAGCCATATGTTTTAAAAGCCACAACTGAGTGTGAACGATC